AACAAAGGACAGGATGCTCACCCGAGTCGAAGAACAAAGCAGCGCTGGAGGAAATGTGCTGGCTCCATACAGGCGGGACTAAAAAGCTGTCTCACACCCGGCCTTTGGAAAGTCTGACCACAACGCCATCTTCCTCATTCCTTAGTATAAACAAAATATTTGGAGGGATGAAGTAACCACGAAGAAGGTGAAACGCTGGTCTGCCCAATCAAAAGCTATGCTACAGGACGCACTCAACGACGTAGACTGGAACATGTTCAGAGCATGTGCAGTCAACATCAACGAGTTAACGGAAGTAGCAGTTAGCTTCGCTAGCATATTAGCGGAGGAGATCATCCCCCACTGCAAGAGTTGTGTCATTCCCGAACCAGAGACCATGGGTGGGCAGATCGAACTGCACAACAGTAAACACCATGACTGCCACCTACAACACCGGTCTTACCACTGGGGATATGAGCGCTTACAAAGCTGCTTCATATGGTGTGCGGCACGTGGTGAGGGATGCCAAATGCTGGTAGCGGGAGCACGTGGAGTCTCGCTTTCACCAGGGCAACACAAGAATCATGTGGCATGGACTACGCACCATCACGGACTACAAAGCCATAGATACTGCACTGATCAACGCTGATTCTGCATTCACCAACGAGCCGAATGAGCTCTACACTCGTTTCGAGGTTTGCCAGGTGGCTAATGCTAACTACTGCCTGACAACTGAGGACGGTGACATCATCAGAGAGAGAGAGAGAGAGACCAGTGATCAGCATTGCGGAGCATCTGAGTGGGGCTGAAGAGCGTGAACACAAGGAAAGCAGCGGGGCCAGACGGCATCACCGGCCGTCTGCTGTGCTGACCAGCTAGCAGGTGTGTTCACTTCCATCTTCAACGAGTTCCTGGCTAAGTCTGTGGTCCCCACATGCTTCAAGAGATCCACCATCATCCCTGTGCCCAAGAACAACAAGCCCTCATTCCTGAATGACTACCGGCCAGTTGCACTGACCTCGGTGGTTATGAAGGTGATCGAGAGGCTGCTGAAGAACATCATCTCCTCCTCCATCGCAGACACCACAGATCCGCTCCAGTTTGCCTACCGACCCAACAGATCCACAGAGGACGCCATCGCCCACGTCCTGCACACCACACTCAGCCACGTGGACAAGAAACAGGGTAACTATGTGAGAATGCTGTTCGTAGATTACAGTTCAGTGTTTAACACAATAGTGCCCAGCAGACTGTTCAAAAAGCTGAGGGATCTGGGACTTAACAGCCGTCTGTGTGCATGGGTGTTGGACTTCCCCACTGGCAGAACTCAGGTGGTGAGGGTGGGTAGGTGTGTCTCTGACAACATCACCATCAACACCGGAGCGTCACAGGGGCGTGTCCTCTCGCCACTGCTCTACTCCCACTTCAGACTGTGTGGCCACCCACGGCTCCAACACCATTGCGAAGTTTGCTGACGACACAGTGGTGTTGGGCGCCGTCTCCAACAACGATGAGGCGGCCTACATGGATGAAGTGAAGAATCTGGCATCGTGGTGCCAGGACAACCACCTCTAGCTCAACCAAGGAGCTGGTGGTGGACTTCAGGAGTCAGCACAGAGACCACAAGCCCATTATCATCAGGAGCTCCAGTGGAGAGGGTGCAGTCCTTCAAGTATCTTGGTGTCCACATCTCCTCAGACCTGACATGGTCTGCACACATTCAGGTCCAGTCCAAAAAGGCTAGGCAGCGCCTGTACCACCTACGACAACTGAAGGAGTTCAGAGCGGGGAGAGCCTTGCTTTCCCCGCCTCCTAGAGCCCGCATTTTTGGTGTACTGTAAGTTATCTTTTTCGCTTTATTAATATTTATAATGTTTTAACCTTCAGCCTTTCAGGTTGTGCCTACTATGCCTGGTGTATTATTGGTTAGTTATATCACCCGCCTGTTAGTATATTTTATTTGTATTTTGTATTTGTATTTATTATTGCTCTAACTCTGTGAAGCACTTTGGCATACCTGTGGTTTTTTTAAATGTGCTATATAAATAAAATTGTATTGTATTGTACACAGGCGCTGTGGACAGCATCCTCACAGAGAACATCACATCCTGGTATGGGAACCGCTTTGTCAAGGCCAAAAAGCTCTTTGGGGAGTGAGCCGTACGGCAAAACACTGCTGCAGGGCTGCTGTCCCCTCCTTACAGGACATTTACATGAGGAGATGCTGGTCCAGAGCAGCTCAGATACTGAAGGACTCGTCCCATCCCAGGAACAGTTCCAACTTCTGCAATCAGGCAGAAGGTTCCACACCATCCAGGCAAAAACAGAGAGACTCAAGAGGAGCTTCTTTCCCCAGGCCATCCGGGTGTTAAACAAGGACCCCCGCCCTCTCACATCATCTATAATTGACTGAGACAGGACTTTTTCTTACCACATCCTCATATCATGCCTGATCTTTCTTGCCACACTACGGCACAAGACACTTCAGCATCCCTCTCGCACAATGTACATTCTCAGTTTTTCAACTTAAATTTCCAGATTGTTTTATTTAATTTAAATTTACTTAATTATATAATTCACTCGCTTAATAATAATAATGGATTGGATTTATATAGCGCTTTTCAAGGCACCCAAAGCGCTTTACAATACCACTATTCATTCACTCTCACATTCACACACTGGTGGAGGCAGCTACGATTGTAGCCACAGCTGCCCTGGGGCAGACTGACAGAAGCAAGGCTGCCATATCGCACCATCGGCCCCTCTGGCCAACACCAGTAGGCGGTAGGGTAAAGAGTCTTGCCCAAGGACACAACGACCAGGACAGAGAGCCCGGGGATCGAACCGGCGACCTTCCGGTTACAGAGACGCTTCCAAACCCCCTGAGCCACGGTCGCCCCATTTACTGCATGTAAGGTCTTCCTTGCACATATTTACTTACTTTTATAATGTTTTCTTTTTGCACAGCCCAGGAGCGTTTTCAGGACACATTTCACTGTGTGTTGTACTTGTATAATTATGCATGTGACAAATAAAGAATCTTGAATCTTGATCCAGCATGCAGTAATATCTGCCCAAACACACTGACAGTGCAATAAAATGGATACCTGGATAGGAAAACTCACAGTGGAATCGTGGCTATGTTTGCACAGTTTTCAATAAATCACTCCACTCATTTCGTATTTTCCTACAACAATGTAAAAAAATTTCACCATTAAACCATGAATATCTCTTATATTCAGGCCTTTGTCCCTCAGTGCCCACCAGTGTTGGTCGAGTTACTTGAAAAAAGTAATCAGTAACTAATTACTGATTACTTCCCCCAAAAAGTAATCCTGTTACTTTACTGATTACTTATTTTCAAAAGTAATTAATTACTTAGTTACTTTTTAAAAACACGATTTACAACCTGAGTAGGTAATAAGGCGATAGATCTTTCAGCCCAATTCTACTTTCTGCCTAATCCATCATATAAAATGTAATCAAACGGAAAAGGCTCTTTTTAAAAAATTTTTATTAGTTTTAATCTTTTAACTTTATGCATCAAGCAAACATTAAATTATATGCAACATTCTCTGACTGGAAGAAATTTGTTTAACATTTAAACCTATTTTCTGCACATTCCAGCACATAAAATAAAATAGTTTTTTTTGTGTTTACACTCAGTCTTTCAAATAGGTGCAAGTAAAAAGTGGGGTAGGCGGATGTTTGCCCTGGTGCAGGTGTGTCTCAGCGGTCAGTGGAAGAATCCGCGAGTTTGTCTGTGAATTTCCTTCCCATTCACTGGTAGCGTACTCAGTGCTTGCTCGGATGTTTAGGGGGTTTTTTTTCGCTGTAAAAAGAAGTTTCTTCCCACGCAGTGAACAGCAGAAGCTAATGTTTTTGTCACTTTTTATGGAATCAAACTCAAAGTAAGGTCAGTACTTCCACGCTTTAAATGCTGCGCGGTCATACTCGCTCCCAGACTCGATATGTTATCCATTCTTGATCTGCACACAGCTGTTGCCACGAACGTCGCACTCGCTTACATCATTGTCATGAGACACCCTCGCAAAAAAATCACGGTTTTAGTAACACAGTAACGTGGGGTGCTTACGGGAAAGTAACGGTAATCTAATTACCTTTTTTGCAATAGTAATCCCTTACTTTACTCGTTACTTGAAAAAAGTAATCGGATTACAGTAACGCACTACTGCCCATCTCTGGTGCCCACTGTAGAAAAGCATACTTTGGTGTTTATTGCAACAAGACGCCATATTAGGCTTCAAGTGTGATCAACAACACCTGCACAGTTTTGCTTATCTTTGCTTATTCTATTTATAGTGGAAGAAAACCCATACAGATTGACTTTTGATTAATAAACTTGTTTATACTTTGGGAGAAATTAAATAATTTATGATGAATTATCCCCAGAAACCACTGCAGAGCTAACAGAAAAGTTTGTGACAAGGCTCAGCGAGAAAAAGGAAGCTGCTTTATAAACAATTTACCTGCCTGAAGGTTTTACTGACTGCTTCACGCTTTTCTTTTGCTCACCTAACATTCGATGTGGATATCTCAACCAGGACGTTTTTTAACAGAAACTGGAAATGAATGAGCTACAGTGGTTGTTGAGGTCAAAACAAAAAGAATACCAACGTCATCAGTTTCCTCTACGCGACCTTCACACAAACTGCTCTAGGAAACTCCTTTAAAGAGTTTGGTCCACTTTTTCCAACTTTGCCTCTGACCTGATAAAAAGTCATCTGTTATTCACCTCATCTGATTGGTGGAGCCATTGCTCTGCAGTGGCCCATGTGCCCAGTTGTCATTAGACCAGATTTAGGCTGACATTTAGGTTTTCATGCTTCCTGATGACAGATTCTCTAAACTCATCAGTGTATTTGTTTCATCCACCTTCAGCAGCCAATGGATGGAGCTTAGAGTCTGAGAGGGCGTGGTGCAATCCAATCAGTAAAGCCTCACCTGAACCACTGATGGGTTTGTTCAGGTGACCAGAAAGAGAATCAAAAGAAACGGGAAAGATTCTGCAGAATTTTATTTAAAAATGTATTTTTGACAAAGGGAAGACTGATTATTTCACTGCGGTGCTGAATAGCCGGGCATGATGTCAGAAATAACACACTGATCAAACAGGCTGGAAGAAAACCTCGATCATTGTAATAATCATTATTAATTAATATCTAACGTGAGCTGTGAAAATCGCAGCTCTTCGACGACCTGATGCCTTACGTATCGGAGAGAACGACGGTTCGAGTTCCAGTGGATGGACAAACCACACAACAAGCACATGGAGTTTGACCTTCGACCTGCAAAACCACCGCTGACACATCGATGTCCCGCTGCGAGAAGTCAGCCATGATGAAACTGACAGAAAGACAGACAGGAAAGATCATGTCCCCTCGAAAATAAAACTCTGGCAGAAACCCGAACTCTGACTGGCAGAAGGGGAGGGGCGGAGCTCCTCTACGATGACCCTGAAACAGATGCAGTTAGTGACACAAACACACCTGTTCATGTGCAGGATAGTGCGACTTCCTGTGCTGGTGTTGCTGATGACCATGGAGGCTGGAAGGAAGCACTGAGGGTGCTCAGACAGCAGAGACACATCGATGCAGTACTTCTGAAAATCTTCCAAAATAAAACTACAGAGAGGTAACTGTTTACACTGACTTGGCTTCCTGAAACACAGATCCTCCACATGGCAAACAGAAAAATTAAAGTCAGAGGTGGTAACAAGTATGTTAGTAATGCACTTTCTGACTGGATGTTAAATAAAGATGATAAATCTCCTGTTTTTAGTGCTCAGGTGAAACTGCTGGTGAACAAAGAGCTGCCTTTTTTTTACCCTTTGAAGAGCACTTTGTAAATGTGAGCACCAGAGGAGTTTCCCCCTTTGTACTTCACCACAGCTTCAAACAACAAGAACCATCTCCACACCTTTAACCTGCTCTGATGTGGTATTGCTGTCACCCTGCCAGGCTGGCAGCATGGACACCTAGGTCTGTTAACGTGATAATTTCAGAATCAGGCATCGTAAGATTTTAAAATTCATATCTCGCGTGCATTTGCTAAAATTCTCTAACAAGTTTGAATCTCAGGTTAAGGTAAGAGGTCCAGTTTCCTCATGAATGTAAAAAGAAGAGAAGTCACTTTCAAACTGATGCCACTGGTGCAGTTATTAAACATCGTGAATGCTTTCCAGTCTCACCGACTTGATATCGAGGTTAAAGTATGAGGTGAAGTTTAATGAATTTTGTCAATGCAATAAGAAGGAATCAACTTCGAATTTTTAAATTTTCATCACACAAACACCTAATTAAAGACTGGTGGCTGCCAGTATCATTTTTATTTATACTGCTAAAAATTAAAGCAATACTTTTTAATCAGAATACAGTCAGTTAAACAACTGAGCAGATAAATATCCCAGATAAGTAGCAGAAAGTCTTTTATTTCAGTAGGTTGATAATGTTCATTTCTGTGTATGTGTGTGTGTAGAATCTCCAAAATACCACAGTTTCAGTAAAAAAACTGTGGTATTAACAGTCTGGATTCTGCCCTCAAACATTGATGACTGTGTATTTCTTGTATTTCTGAACAAATGGATTTATTGATGAGCATTTGAAAAGGACTCACTTGGCCACAGGACCAGCTGACAGGGAGCCCATGAAGGCACAGGGCGCTCCGAGCAGCGACAGCACTGTGCATGAGTTTGAAGCATTTCCTCCCCGCTGCCAACGCTGCGACAGACATCTGTAGGTACAAAGTGATGACATCATCCATCAGAGGGGCAATCATTAATTTCCAATACTGATAGAATAGAATAAGAATAAGAATAGAATTCAACTTTGTTGTCATTGCACATACACAGGTACAGGGCAACGAAATGCAGTTTGCATCCATCCAGAAGTGCTTTAGCCATGATATAGATATATTACAATATATATTAGCAATAATATAGATATGTAAGTATATTACAGAAATGGGTCTATTATGGTATGTTATAATGTACATGGTATGAAGTATGTTATGAATATTCTATAACTATAAGTATGTACAGGCTGTAGTGAGTACAAACTATGTACAGGATATGAACAGGATATAAATATGAAAAACTATACAGAATATGAAATAAATAACTTTACAGAATCTGAGATATACAGCTATACAGAAATGTGAACTATGCAAGTTATAAACAGTTGTAGGATTAAAAATTATCGTATGTACAGAATGATTATTTACACAGAACTATACAGTAGTGCAGTTAAGGTAAGTGAGGGTGTGGATAATTTCTACAGAGGCTATATAAAGTGCTAGTGGTTGTGAGTGGTGGTTCAGTCCATGTTATTATTGTGTGTTTGAGGGTACAGTTGTCCATTGTGTGTGTATGTAGGTGGTTGTGTGTGTGTGTATGGTCAGTCCATGAGTTTAACGTGGGTCAGATGTCAGGAGGCAGAGTTCAGGAGTCTGACAGCTGTGGGGAAGAAGCTGTTCCGGTACCTGATAGTCTTAGTCTGATGGCAGGAGTGATGAAAGGCTTCATGGAGTCAAACATTACACACAGAAACAAAAAGAAGCTGCTAACGTTAAAGTCAAAGGAGTGTGTTTCTCATCGCCAATGAGAAACAAGCACCAGTGCATCACAAACAAAGTCATTGTGGCAGAGCAGTGGGTTCACAATGTCAGGGGAGCCTCACGCACACAGCTGTTCCCCAAGGCCTAATCATGTCGTCCCTATGAGTAGGATCTCAGAGAAGTGAGGTGTGTGCTATACAGGAGAAGTGAGGAGCACTGAGCTGGAGAGAGTGGGGCTGAAAAGCCTGCCACTCAGTATGCTGTATGCTGTTTTACACATATAAAAACGTTCATGTGCTGGAGAAACTGTCAGCCTGCAATCCTTGCTACAGTTATCAACCACACTTAAAAGCAAAGGGTTGGGGGACAGCTGGGTCGTAGTCAGGTTAGTGCCAGGGCCTCAGCCAGGAAAACTTAGATAATAGAAGATCAGTCCGCTTGGCCTCATTCACACGAGTGAAGAGAACAGGAGAACCAGTGATGCTAATGTCCTCATGTTAGGAGAGAGGTAAAAGATGAATTCTCTTCTTCAGATTAGTGACACCCCTGTTTGTGGGGTTAGGGCTTGTTGCAGCACCAAGGAGATGCATTTACATCATATTCTGGCTTTTTCATTTTTAAAATAAAAAAATAAATGGAGTATCAAATGTCGATAGTGTTGCACTGAAATCTGTTACATAATGAAAGTGTGACCTTTGCCCACACGTTGACCTAAAAAAACTGCCAACCCCGACACCTAAACATCACCAAAAACTCTTACCCGTAAACCCCTAATCCTGACTGTATACAATGTCACAGTAAATCAATTTTTAGAGATCCACTTCTCTAAACAGCTGGTTCAACATAAGTTGTACCAACCTGGAGAGTTAGCTTGCATATTAACATATTAACCTGCTCTCACCTTTAGCCTGCATACTAACCTGCTGTCAGAATTGGCCTTGATGCTAACCTGTCAGAGTTAGCGTGCA